TGGTCATTTTTATGAAAGCCAATTACGTAAAATTCACTTGATGTGTAAAGGTTTTCTTTACAATCCATAACAGAAAATCCAATACCTTTTACAGTTTTTCCCCACACAACTAAACTGGATTTACAGTGAGAGCAGGTTGATGCATATGATTATGTCTACATATCTAAATAATAGGAATACACAATGTTTGTGACCATTATTCATATTCAGCTGTCTACCCAGTTAGGACATCATACAGCAGACAATTCGACTATCCAGATCAACAGGAAGCGACAGTATTCCTTGTCCTGCTCTGCGGTGTTCAGCATAGCGGCACATAAACCACACCTCCACCTGCCACAGATTCTAGAGAAGCTCACAGAGGACTTCCAGAATAGACGAAGGCTACTGTTGCTAGATGCAGTCCACATTGGTGGTGTTGAGTCTGTCCAATTGCAGGACGAAAGACTCTCTGGGGAAGCAGCTCAGTGACATTGAGGGTTGCTGCAAAGATCACATCTGCCTGCTGGTGCAGAAACTGCTTAGCAGCAACTGCAGTCTCAGAATTATAGCAACTGGATTGGCCATGAATAAGAAAATAAACACTGGCTTTGAAATTTGAAAAAAAAAAATGCTAAAAGGAGTCCCAAATTATTCTTGGACAGGCATTAGTATACAAAAGTAACCTACAGAAGTAAAGTCATTTCTGGGAAACACCATTTTGGAGTAAACAAGTAATTTAAATGCAGGAACATTGGATTTACTTGCAGCCCTGTTTTAATAAGATTCAAAACCTTTTTTTTTTCCCCACCCAAACAAAAGCCCACAGAAACAATGTCGGATAATCTCATTACAAAAACATTATCACACCATCCAAACTGAAATAAGTATGCTCAACAAAATCTGGACATTGCAGCAATACTAGGAGACATTTCAAATGTACCCAGTCCGTCTATTACGAATCACCGAGTATTTGTGACCCATCACCCGAAAACTGTTTTTGTATACATCCAGTTTTGGTTATGAGTCAGAACGAAAAGCCTTCAGTTATGATGCCCCTCTGATACTATGCTCATCCCAACAAAAAGGCCAGACATTTTCAAATGGTTGTTGATGAAAAGTGAATGAAAGGAGATTGATAGTTGGATACATTGAGGGCTCACATCTGGAAGCTTTTAGGACCAGATCCCTCCAAATTCCTGCAATGAGGTTAACTGCTAAACACGAAGCGAGTATACTATAGTCAGTTCTTGTAGGCACAGTACTGTGTTACTCTACACATCACGCACAAAGAGAAAACAAGCACCATTATGTCACTGCTCCCGTCAGTCCAGATGATTAAGTTATACTGACATGCACTGTACATCTACACTGGGTTCAATCAGAAGTTGCTGTGCATGAGATGATCTGGCATGAATGCTTGTTCACCACTGACTCAGAGAGATATAATCTCCCTGTTTATAATCCATTTTCAAGAAATTATCATCGACATCAACTCGTCTGTCTGTCAGAATCCCTCATTTAACACTACTAAGAAAATCATCCCCTGCTGCTAGCCAACACATAACAATGGAGTAGAGGCAAAAACACTTTTACACAACAGCTCAGCAGAAAAGTCCACATGCATATGAGCTACGACAGAACACAGAATTAACAAGTGTCTCTCTGGATAAAGTTGAGCCACAGCTAGTATTGAAAAGATTCCTATTCAATGTAGTACTGTTGACAAAATGTGTGTTCTTTATGATCAAAAGGCCAGCTGAACAAACTATATGCACCGGTTCATGGATAAGAAAACACACGGAGTAGTAGAGCTAAAAGTTTGGTTTAGGTTTTGAACTCCTACAAGTATGTTTTAATGGAATACTACTGAAGCCTGTGGCTTGTGTAAACATCGCCACTTAGCAATATGCGCCAGAAAACAACAGAGCTGCAGTCTTCAGCTCAGAAACCCTTAAGCCAAATCCCATTTAAAAATTTTTTAATTTTTCTTAGAATTAAAGACAAACCCAATTTTTAGAAATCAGAAGCAAGATTTTACTTCCTCGTGGATCGGGTAACTGTTGGGACACTTTCGGCTACACTCAATCATCAATCTAAACTTTATTTTTAAGGAAATGTCAACTTTTGCTGAGCATTTGCCCCTGAAGCTATCGCCCTCCACCGTGTATTTTGAACAGAGCTTTTGTAAAGGAGCAGAGACTATAATAGGTTAAAAGACAGTAGAAGCAACTTGTCAAGTATTTCATTTGGTGCATTCCAAAGTGATAACACAAATGCTGTGACGTGAGTAAGACAGCACTTAATTACTATACTATTAGCTAGTTAGTCTAAGATGGATAGTAAGATAGGTCTGGCATTATCTTCCATCGAAGCACAAACAGCCCACTAGCAAGAACTTTCTTACCACTTAATCACCAAAACCCTCAAAATGCAGTTTACAAAAAAGCTCGAACATAGTTGCATCCAAATGAATTACAAATTAATCTAAAAATGATCCGTGAAAGACAGACTGTTGCTGACTAAAAAGGTGTGCCTGTTGTTAACGACAGTGAGGACCAGTCCTGCTCACTCCAGAGCCGGGCAACGCTAACACGTAAAGCGGGCCTTTATTGTCAAAAATAAAACCTAAATAAGTATTAGGGGCTAACACTGGGCAAAACAAGAATACACAAATAAAACTTGGTTTTGAACTCACCCTCTAAAAGCCTGGAAATCAGCGAGTCGACGTCCAACTCCCCCTCCGCCATTTCTGTAACGAACAGCTCTGCCCGCCGCAGTCTGAAGCAGGCAGGGCAGACACCGCCTCACCGCACAGAAACCGCCTCCCTTTCGCGGCCTCCCATTTAGGGCCATTACGCCTCATTCAACTACACCTCGGATATTTTAGTTTCTAGAACAGAAGGGAGAACAGTGGACATTTTTTAAAAACATAGTAATCCTGTTCATAAGTTTCACATACTTTTTTTCCTCCTCATTTTCTAATTCAATCCTCATATTCAGCCATTGCTATATAAAGCCTGGCTCAACCATAAAGATCATGATATGAGGGTACAAAAATGTATTTGTATTAGAAAATAAGGGTAGCCAAAAAAACGATGGTCAATAGCATATTCACTGCATTTTCTTGCTTTTTACCTGTGATTTTCGATTGCGTTGAATGCATCAGCTAATCCAGTGCTTCTTACAGCAATAATCATAATAATAACGATGCAAAGATTACCATTAGATATACTCTATTTATAATGAAACATCGTTTACACTAAGAAAATAAGTTTTCGTTTTCACCATATTCTATCAAAGGACAGGTGTCTTAAAGGGCCTGATTTATTCACCTCCAGCGCCCCCTTCTGGCCAGGAGATGTCGCTTAGAGCAAAATCAGTCCTTTATTCACGTTACTTTGTCTTCAACTGGACTATGGTGGTGAAACATGGTGAAATAATCGTTGTTTAAAAAAAGGCGTTTGAAGCCCTGTCACTATTATCACACTGTATTAAGTAGGTACTGATTTCTAGTGCAACCAGCAGACCAGAAACGTGTAAAGTAAGACCATGTGTGAAGGACTGGCCTGAGAAACACTGAAACTGGTAAACTTAAGATCTGTATGTTGTGTCTGTTTACAGAGAGAAGAGCCCGAGAACCGACAGACAGGAAAAAAAGTGAGTTGGATCTTAATCTTAAGACTCTTCCAGGTTATGACTAAAGCCAAGAGTTATGTTATTGCCTCTCCCACTCACTTATTTTTCAGTTTCTTTCAAGTGCGTCACTGGGTATTTCCGCACTGTTTTGAGTGGGTGGAGGCAAGTTGCACTGCAGAGAGAAGGCAGAGGTCTGCAACTAGATCAAGCTAGCCACAGCGCCGGACACGACGCAATTTTCCCTCTTCAAAATAAAAGTATGCAGTATTTTATGAGCAATTGCTTGTCCCGTGCAACTAGACGAAAGTCTTAAAATAAGTAACGCACAATTGGTATACACTACTCCTATTACACCACAGTTCTGCTATACTAATGTGAAAAAGCGTGAAAACCATGAAAATAAACTATTGTTAATTTTGGAGACTTGGTAAAGGTAGTGGCTGGCTTTAAAAAATAAACCAAGTTATTGTTCTGTTCACACCTATTTCCGTTATCTTGAAAATTACCCAAAAAAATCTGCCATGTTTTGATTTTTTTTTAGTTCACTATAAATTCGATTAATTAATTTAACATTTGGGGGTAAAGGTAGTAGCTGCCTAAGTAGTAAATAAAAGGCGTTATCAGCGAAAGGTTATCCAATTTCAGATTCTGCATTTGTAATAAACGTGGCACAAAAACAATGCCTACTGTGTGAGAAAAAGACATCACAATGACTTAAGGGGAAGAGATTTCTTTAAAAAAAAAACAAGATGAGGACAAAAATAAAGCAGAGATGTGTTTCTGTTAGAGGAGTTAACCTGTGGAATAGTTATGACAGTGATTTAAAAAGGTGTAGTTCATTTTCCTTGTTTAAAAATATGTTTAAAAATAGAGTATTAGAAAAATATATAAATCAAGAATGAAATGCCAAAAAAACCCCCCAAAAAAACCCTCTTGATTCTTTTGCTTTGATGTAGTTACTTATCTAAGGTGGAAAGTTTTTTTTTCTTGTTTGTTTGTTTGTTTTGTTTTTGCTTTGTTTTATTATTTGCTTCGAGCCCTGTGTACAGGAGCTGCATGCAAAAAGATCTTTTGTTAAAAGGGTTGGCGTAATAAGCAAATGCTTCAGCCAATACCTTTTGATTAGCCTTGTCTCATGATTTCTTGCTTTGTGGTAGATCTTTGTTCTGTTTTCACTGAGATATTTGAATGCTAATCAGTAAAAATCAAATCAAATAAAAAAATCAAACAATGAAGAGAATAAAGCACGTACTGTGCAGTTGCTGCAACTTGGCGAGAGGCGTGTTGCACAACAAAGTTGCAGCACATCGCTTCCCAAATAGCTGTTCCTTACCGGAAAACCCGTGAGCACGAACGTAACTATGTCTGCGGCTTTACTAACTGTACACTCTCGTACACAGACGTAGGTGGAGCGAAGGAGGCGACAGAGCGGCTCTGTCAAGAACTTCGTGGAGTCTGTAGTGCCGTGTTTCCTGCTCTTATTTGGCTTAAAATAAGATACAAATTATTGAGAAACAGCGGGGGATATCGAGGAGCGTGAGCTGGACTTGGACACAGCCATGGACCGTAAGTGGAGCTGCTTTTATTTACTCATCTCAGACACGGGAGGCGAAACTGTACAGGGAGTTGTTTTGCGCACAAGGGAAAGCCCCGCTATCATTGGGTTTTGCGCCAACAGGAGGAGTCTGTTCCCGGATAGTAAGCTAACGTACAGACAGAAGTTTGACTTAACTTTGGTTTATCGCATACATGTGAAATACTTGAGAGAAACTTGATGTTTAACTGAATGAATTTCTCAGCTTGTGGACAACTCAACTGGCACGAGCGGAGCGAACCAAACAAGTCTCGCGCTGCCTAGAGGCCTGTGGGGTTTGTCCACTTGAGAGATTTCCTTCTAGCCACTGAAACTTCGTTCAGAACTCTCGCCATTTAATGTTTTTCTGTTTGTAAGTGGAAATATTCTTTGTGAATCACGCTCTCAAAAGCTTGTCAGTAACAGTGAATAGTGTATTTTAAATTCGGCCTGGTTAAAAACACCGTATAACGTTCTTTTCAATAAAAAAAAAAAAGTCGTATTTAATTGGTCGACGCGTTTAGCAACCGCCCACTCCGGCTTTAATTGACAAAAACGGTTCCGATAGGAAATTGTGGTAATAAGCTCTGTGTTCAGGAGAACACGTGTATGCAGATACTGTGAAGATTTCACAGCCGCCCCCGTTTCTATTTTATTCCATATATACCTTTGCCTTTAGGCTAAACCATAAACAAACGAGATTTTATAATGGAGTTCTGTTGACTTCCTATGTTTAGAGTGCAGCCACACTTTATGCAAATGTTATAAAGCTTAAAATAGATTATGTTTGTTGATAAGTGTCACTTATCTCTGTCTTGGTTGTCGATATTGGCACGACAAACAGCCAACATCTGACTGAGCATCATAAAAGTATGTCCCTTTGTTCGGTCAGCAAAAATGAAAGTGATTCTAGCAACAGTATCGAAGGCCTCAGCTGTGATGCTCTTAATTCAGTCATTAATGATCTTTCGGTCATTGTGGGTATGTGCTTTCACTTTCACATCATCCAGACTCAGTAAATAGAAAAGACTGTCTTTCACATAAGTGGTCAAAATGCAATCATTACAGACTCGTGTCATCCTTTTGTTTTAACAAACAACAACTTTTGTTTGTTTGTTTGTTATTTTTAGTCTTCACTTTGGGGCTTTACACAGCCTCTTCATTCAGTATTATTCTGGCATTTTAGGTATGATCAGAAAAAGCAAGAATAATGTCTTTGAGCTAAGGCTAGAAAGCAAACATGTTACAGCATGGAAAGGACTCTACTCAAGCTTTTGAGCTGAACCTTTCCTGCCTGCTGATGGGTGGAGCTTTGATCGACTCACCCAGTGTTACACCTTACTTACTGCCTGAAACTGGAGTGCACCCTGCACTAAAGGCTTCCAGCACCAAAGCTGGTAACCTGACACCAACATTAAAAGCCCTGCCTGTCATTGTTTGCCTTTTTCTGCACTTCGTCTCCTTCTCGGTAGCTTTGCAGGCAAGTGGTTTATGACAACCAGAGATTATATTTAGCTGGGAGGCCCATGTATCTCGGCGTCCTTCGACCCCGTTGGACGCTGCACTCTCCTGTAGAATTCCACCCTGACCTCACCACAAATGACAAACTCTGACTAAACCTCAAATATGCAACAAATCTGTTTTCTGTTATTTTTGTCATCTCCACCACCACTGCGTGCTTCCTCGTGGAAGTCGTAGATGGAAAACCTGCAGTTTTTCCTCAATAAGTTGGTTAAATTCCTTTCTTGTTTCTGTTCACCACAGCTGGATATGGATGGAGCCTTACCCCGCTCAACCAGGGTAAGCGCACTTTCCTTTTTAAAAAGAATTACTGATGTTCTCTGCAGTGATTTCATGAGTAAACATTTCTACCCTCGGGTGTAGTGACGATCGATGAGGCTGTCTGTGTTGACACACTGACACAAGTAAAGCAGTATTTCACAATGACACAATGCCTTTGCTTTCCTCAACAGCTCCCTACATAGAGATTATCGAGCAGCCAAAGCAAAGGGGGATGAGATTTAGGTACAAGTGTGAGGGACGGTCTGCTGGCAGCATTCCCGGAGAAAAAAGCAATGACACCACTAAGACGCACCCAGCAATCAAGGTGAGTTGGCACAACTTACTGATGCCTTTTAGCGACGATTCATTAAATATCATTTACATTACAGATAATATACACATTGGTGAAGATTTAGGTAAAACGGGTGCATGCAACCATAGCAACTGTTTCCACAGTGACTCATGTACGTCAACTGTACATTTATGGTGGAGAAGGTCAGTGCTGAAAAAAGGCTTTCTCCAGCTGAAACATCTGTTTTTCCTGTTGAATGTTAGGAACACAGACTGTGTATGCGTGATGGATGATGCAAGAAAGAAATCCAATATTATATTATACATTATATAATATCATATATATATTTGTGTTGATCATTTCAATTGAAAACGTAATTTCCAGAAGAATACATTTTTCCTACAATATCCGCAAAATTAATTCTGGACTATGAAAGAATGGATGTTATCAGCTAACGCTAACAAGCTTGGTTTGCAAGGTACATCTGTTAGTACAAAGTCATAAACCCAAACTGAAGAATGGACCTGTCTGACAGGCAGTTAGTGCAGATAACTTATATTAAAAATGTCCTAGAAGGCATCAGTACTATAAACATAGTTGAGATGTCCAGTTCGTTAACTTGAATTAAAGGGGTGAAGCATTGCAAACAACTTAGTCATAGACCCTAAAGTGAACAGCACCACCAGTAAGTCATCAGACGAACGTTTGTGTATCAGAACCTGTAATTCTTCTCTGCAAGTTGCATGCAGTGAGTTTGTTTTAGCTGCAGACAATGCAAGTGCCCTTATGGCTGAACCTTCTATCAGTAAAACTCTGTTTTTTTATGGACAGGTGCACAACTACAGCGGCCCCCTGCGTGTTCGCATCTCATTGGTGACAAAGAACTCACCCTACAAGCCTCATCCTCATGAGCTGGTTGGAAAAGACTGCAAACACGGCTACTATGAGGCTGACCTGCAGGAGAGACGGATACACAGGTGGGACTAGTTTGTATGTAAAGATAAAATTAGACACTTCAGAGAAACCTAAAGGAAAAGAAGCAATACAGAGCGCTACGGTGTCTCGAGGAAAACTACAGTTTCAGGCTAATGCAAAGTGGAGTTTTGCAGTGACTGACCTAGATTAGCCCTTGATCGGTTCTGGAAAATGACGTGTGTACTGTCACCTTGCTTGGTGTCTAGATGAGCAAAAATTTAACAGAATACTTTTTTTTAGCACAAAAGAGTTAACATTTCCTCTGTATTACAACCAGAACAAAATTTCCACAAGTTGGAAAAAAACCCCAAATCATTCCCAATTTGGTTCTGAAGTGGAAATACTGACTGATAAGATATGTTGAAACCTACTGAACCCATATACCTGGCAAGACATGACAGTTTTTTTCTGTCTTCATTGAAACAGTGACAAAAGTCAAACAAATCAGCTTGTACTGCAGACAGATGTGTGCACTGTGATTCAACATGAGCAACTGCACGTGCTTATGTTGGGCAATTATTTTTCACACTGAACAGTTTATATCCTGATCATTGCTCTAGATCACCACATGAGTTATAAAAGGGAAACCGTTACACTGTTATTTCTAATTCTAGTCTCCCTGGAGTCTAAATTAATAAAACATCATGTTAAATAACCCAGAAAAGTACATAAAAAATCTGTATGCTAACAAGCTTTTAATTGTTAAACTATATTTGACTGTGACTAACAACAACAATAATAATAATAAAAAAGAAATAATAATAATTAGGTTAGGTTATAAGGCAGGTATAATGCAGGTACTGGACACAAGCAGTTCAAACACAGTCATTAGTGCAGCCAGAATAAGGGTAGATATGGGGTAGAAGTCAAGAACAGCAAATACTTCAGGAAGTAGCAGTGCAATGTCTACTAGTTCGTTAACCGAAAAAGTAAACTGGGTCAAAAGATGATTGCATGAACTGTGTTGCTAGATGTCTAAAAAGTTGTTTTGTTTTTTGTCCTTTCAGTTTTCAGAACCTGGGTATACAATGTGTGAAGAAGAAGGATGTAAATGAGGCCATCACTTGTAGACTGCAGACAAACAACAACCCCTTTAACAGTAAGTGGCCATAGTTAGAGATGAGTCTCCACCACAGATTTTAGTGATTGTTTATGTTAACTACCTTTGTCCTTAAAGGATATGATAACATCATTTTGGAGGATAATTGTAATCATGTGCTTAATTTGGATTACTGACTTCTTCACATACAACAGCTATGCGTTAACTTCTGTATGGTCAACTGTTATCAACAACACTAAGCAAATTCTACTTCATGTTTGTTACTGAGACGATAGCGGGTGGTGGCTGTGTGCTGAAAAGTAGTACGACAGGATGCAGTGGTTTGCTTGAGTGTTTTATTGTGCGTTGCGTACCACGCCCTTTTCCTTCTCTTTCTTGGATGCAGTTCCTGAGGCTAAGGTGTGGGAGGAAGAGTTTGACCTAAATTCAGTCCGGCTTTGCTTCCAGGCCTCCATCACTCTCTCTACAGGGGAGCTCTATCCTCTGGAGTCTGTGGTATCACAGCCCATCTATGACAACAGTGAGTTGAACACAGCACACGTGAACAGAAATGCATATGCACCAAATCAGCTGATATAGATATTTCTTATATGTTAATATAAGGTAAGAGGTGCTTATAGTAAGTACTGTACCATTGTAGAGACGAGTATCAGTCTGAGCTCTCTGTACCAGCACGTTCACACGTATAATCACGACTATAAAACTTCCAAATGTCCTGCAGCCTTCCATGCCCTCAGTGATTCTCTGTTCCTCTTTGCAAATTAATGTTTCCTCTCAGTTTGAAGGTATTTACAAGAAATAGACATCACCACAGACTCACTTGTGGATCAAACACATACATCTGTGTTTCTCCAAACAGCTGAAAAAGTTTAATTTCACTTTCGAAAAATGTCAATTGTCTGTGTTTCAAAAAACAAACAAACAAAAGAAGTAGACAAAGTAAGCCAAATAAAACGGAGACGTTAGCCACCCAAGTATCGAAGTGCCAGCCAGAGCGGGCCTCACTGTGCGTTTAGCATTTGTGTGATATTCAAGTGTTGCACTACTATCGTGTTCATGGGCACATAAAGGCTTTTGTTCTGTCTTGCAGGGGCTCCAAACACAGCAGAGCTAAAGATCTGCAGAGTCAACCGCAACTCTGGAAGCTGCAAAGGAGGGGATGAAATCTTTCTGCTGTGTGACAAAGTGCAAAAAGGTACAGTGTTACTGTACAGATACCGAAAGAGCACAGCGGCACACAGCACAACTAAACCTACACTTTCAGACTGAATAATCCATAAATAGAACTCAGGACTGAGTGAGCAGATGTAAAACTTGCAATACACGTAGAGCGGAAACGGTGTAAGTCCTTTACACCCACAGAAGATTGTGTGAGAAGAGAAGAAGTTAGAAGCAAGTGGTCTCAAAATAGAAGAGTGACTCACTTAATAAAATATACTATATGAGGTGACTGGGTTTCCATTTTTTACAGCAGCTGTCATGGCTTAGTTTCCATCTTCAAAACAGCAGATGTGCTAATTATGCATGTAATGGATATATTAAAAAAGTTAAAAAGAAAATGCAGACTACCTGGCATTACACACTAAACTGACCCGTCCTATATCATAATGCAACTTACAAACACGTGTTAGAGAGACATACTGAGGCTTTCAGTGCTCATTTCCCCTTTAAGTTACAGCAAGTCCACTTTTTTACTGGACATACGTGGTTAGCCAACCTTAAGTAGAGCAAGACTGTGTCTTCTTAGAGTCAACCTCAGGATCTCTTATTCAAATAAAATGTTCTGTATTTCTTAACAAAACTTCTCGACTGGTCACACTGAAAAAATCTGTGTTTTCCAGATGAACTAAATCAGCTTTACCCTCATTCCCCTAAAATGGTTTTTAAAAAGGCTTTTTTTATCTGGAAGTTTTACTTCTACCACTGCCTTTCCTGTTGCCAAATTATCTGACAGATTCCACTTCAGAGAAACAACTAAGGAATAACACGATTGTGTTTGTCCAGAGCAGTGAGTTTACACAGTGATATCATTTTTGTTGTTGTTCAGATACAGAATAGGCTGCTAGCTGATGCCAGAGCCAACAAAGCTGCCACTTAATGAACATACGTAGGTCAAATATGCCAATACTGATATGTCTATACTCGAAGCCTCAAGCAATAAACACAGAAATTGTTTGAACATTATAATACAGGTCACCTGTAATAAAAAGATTTACTAGTCTCTTTGACCATGTGTGTTACTCCTATGTCTTCTTTGGCATGCTGTGACTTAGATATTCTAAGCAAACATGTAGTGAACATTAAGCGTATAGATGTTAGACAGCGCAGTCAACAACACTGCCCATTGTACAGTCAATGAGAATATTCTTGAATGACTGCACACTGACTGCTAATTAATGTTGGCTAATGTCAGACAGATATGGAAAACTGAAATTTGTCTGGGCCAACTGTAGACAAGGAAAGATAAATAACGGCTCGGTCTTGAAAGTCAATTGATGAAGCACTTTTCTCATAATGAAAGTAACACCAGCAACTCGACCAGCTGTTGTTATGTTATTTATTTATTGATTTAATATTGTAATATAGCATGCAGTGCTATATCTCAGATCATTTGCTAGTCACTGCTTCCCATTAATAGACTTTAAAGCCACATTAATCATGATATTGCACTATAATACACTACAGTTACACTTTAATAATTCATCAAATGACTGTCTTAAATGGGAAAGGTGTAACTTGCTAATTCAGTAAAAGGACTAGATGTTGTAGTGCATTGCGTTAAATGGCGAGAAGCTTGAGGGATGGCTGTTATGAGGAAAGGCAGCCCAGAAACTTTCGGTCTTTTACCCAAGCTAATCTGACATTTTTGGGGGGATTAGAGATCTGATCTAAATTATCATATTAAGATTTGGGACACATTATCAGTAGTGGACCTTGGATTCTTCTTCAAAGGGATAGAAAAGGTGATAGAGAGAAGTAAGACAAAAGAGACAAGATAGGAGAGTGCAGAGAGGAGAGCCGGAAGGGGGCGCTCGATCTGGCTTCCCACACCGCCCCGCCGGATCGGGCTGTATGCTCTACCTCCCCACTAGAATACAGTCTCCAAAAATGATCAGAGGAATTATTTTATTGTGTGTTGGTTTTTCCTGTCTGCAAACTTTGAACTCACTGAGGTTGTTTTCAGCAGGCAGCAGGTCTCAGCAGCAATGAGAGAAAAGTAGTGACAAGGACTTGATTTAGGTGGACACAAAGATGACTCCAAGGGAGTGCTAATGTTAGCTGCTAGGAAACTGCTGTAGGTGATGATGGAAATTTAAAAAAAAATGTTGACTGAAGCATCACGTATGCACTTCAGAAACCTCTGGGTTCAGACTGTGCCTTTGTTCCACGTGTGGGATTTCATTGCATCTCGTGGAAGCTGCTGTGTGTAACACAATGCAAAGCAGTCACCTAATCTGTTTTTGTGCTGAGTTAAAGCTTTCTTCTTCTTCTCATTCTTTTCCAGTTCTTTTCATTTCTGTACAAGTTTCTTTTAAAGTGATCACTTTATGCTCATTATAAAAGCCTTTTTTTTTCTTCCCTCACTTATCTGCTGCTGTTTGATCATGGCACACATATATGCTTTGTAATTTGGATGTGGGTGCTCCCCTGAGTATCATTTGATACATCTTAAACTGGATACAAATTGCATCATTGCGAAAAAAGATTGTGAGAAGGCTGAATTTTGTACTAGTTCATCTCTCGGTCCTGCTGTCTCTGGGAGCCTGTCACACAGCTACTTTCACAACGAGCGGCGCTGTCACATATCTGCTTTGAACATTAAACCCTTTTGGTTGAAGTTTAACAACTGAAGCTGGCTGCGAGCCTTCTGAGTTGTTGTTAGACTTGAGTGTTGCGTAGCAGCAAATGTGATGTAACACCCCCGGGGTCTTTTCTCTGTTAATCAAAAACATCAGAGCTGCTTTTGCACCGAAGCCGGCGAGTTAGTGCCCGATTATCTGATTATTCTTTTTGAGTTCTTCACCAGCTGCAGTATGTTGTTACATTTGCCATTTTCTGTTTCCCTGCAGAGGACATCGAGGTGCGTTTCTTCCAAGACTCTTGGGAGGGGAAGGGCACTTTCTCCCAAGCTGATGTCCACAGGCAGGTGGCCATTGTGTTTCGCACTCCGCCCTACCGTGACACTAACCTCACTGAGCCAGTGAGAGTCAAGATGCAACTCCGGCGGCCCTCTGACCGAGAAGTCAGCGAGCCAATGGACTTCCAGTACCTGCCGTCAGATCCAGGTAAAATATATTATATGCAGAAAATGTGCTGAATATGTGCAACTTTTCTCAAATTTAACTTCTTTATCATTTCCACCCTGGCAGATGAATACAGGCTGAGTGAGAAGAGAAAGCGGACAGGAGATATGTTCCAGAACCTGAAGCTAGGGCCCTTGCTATCTAGTGGTAGGTTAATAAGATTGTTTTTTCTGTCAGCTGAGCATAGTATAATTGGATAATGGTTACACTGTTGTTAAGCACGGTATTATAAAGACGTCTTCTGACATTTCAGTGACCACTCCACAAGATAGACAGCACCTAAACCCATCAAGGAGAAAGCTGACAGCCAAGCCTCAATTACTGAACCCACAAGCTGGTGAGTCTGTTGCAGATGTTCCTTCCTTATTTGAACTCATTTGAAGACATTTTACTTTACTTCCTGATGTCTTTTACACCAACTAACAAATGGATTCATTCAAAAATTGTCATTTCTGGCAAATGTAATTTGATGATAGTTAATGTCCGCTTATAATAAGTAATACTCTAAATAATAAAACAGTAATTTAGATTGGTGTTAGTTTCAATCTCCTCGTCTTCCTGTCTTAAAGCAGTTGAGTCATTAGCGGTGAACTTTGTGTATGTGAAATATGTGATAAGGATTTTCTGCAGTGAGTTCTCAAATCACTTGCTTGTGTTTGCAGCAGCTGTGGTGCCCACTGGTCCCACTGGGGCAAAATCACATCCCCAATACCCCTTCCAACCAGGCCAGCTATTTTCTGAGCAGACAAAGGTAGAAGCCTCCAACATGTCAGCAGCTCCTACCAACCAGTGGAAGATGACAGCCCTGGGCTCCCAACCAAAAGCAAACCCAGTGTCTAGCTTTTCAATGAACCCATCACCGGCCACCTCTACCATCACTTCCACTTCCAATCAGGACTACTCAACGGTCAACCTGTCAGATCTTCATGAATTCTTCCCGAACATTTCCTCGACTATCACCCAGCAGGAGCCCTCAGCTTCTCAAGTAAACTTGGCCTCTTCACAGACAAGCAACTCCTTCGCCCTCCAGAGCACTCAGTTCCGGGGAGAGCCACCACTTGTTGATGACGATATCCCAGATTTCCCTAGCTTCACTGAAGGCCAGGTCCCAGTCAACCTGGACAGCCTCAACATGGATGACTTGGAGGATCTTCTGAACCCCCAAATCGTAAATCATCCTTCATGTCAGCCGACTGGCCCTTCGGGCTCCTCTACCGCTGCCCAGACTAGTGCAGCATCTCAGAACACTTCTGACCCTGCCAGCAACCCAGGAAGCACTTGGATGAATTACCCCAACAGCATTGTGCATCTGCTCCAGAACGAAATCATGACAGACAGCAGACCCAATAACAACCAAATGCTCGAAGACTTCGATGAGTTGATGTCTGCTGATGAGGACCGTCTTATTTCCATTTTTAACAGTGGAAGCCAAGCTGGGTTTGTGTCAGGACACCCGACTTAAAGTTTCTTTCATTTTTCCAAAGACCAATTGTATCTTCCCCTGTGGCCATCAGGACTAAAACTTCTTTATTATTGTAAGGCAAAAAAGGAAGTAGGCAGAGGAGACCGAATGTAGCAGCACTGCTCACTGTGGACACACTTCTTAAAATACCAGCAATGACTTTATGGTATTCAGTCTGACGCCTTGCCCAGTCATATAGTTTGTCTGATAAATTACAAAACCCATAATGTAGGTGATCAGATTTCATGCCCTGTGAAACCCATGTCCAGCATCTGTGACTAAACGTTTAGGTCACTGTCAACATATTGATGGTGGAGACAGATTCTCCAGCGAATGTTTTACGAAGACAGACAGCATGGGTACTTTGATAAAGGTATCCGGTGTGGTGATTCTTTTTGGAACATGTTAAGCATGTTTTTGTACTGTCATTTGAACAATTTTGGTAGCTGTGGCCACAAAAATGTGCAGCTTTTGTCTCTTTTTTTGTCTTTATACAAAAGGGTTCATATATATGCAATCAGATCTAGAGGTAAGTCTACACAGATTATGTCCGTTTTTAAAAAGAAATTATCTCTTTGGATTGCACCATTGTTTTCTGAAGGTTAACACAAACTATCTGAATGTCTTGGAAACAAAATGAAGGTGTACATTTATCAAACAAGCAACATTACTATATATGTGCTTATACTAGAGATTGTGCTTTTTGTGGTAATAGTTTCCACTGCTCTGTAATCAGTTTTTCTACACTTATTTTATCAGTAATGGTTGCATTTTAACTCAGCTGTTTCAGACTTGCTATACTCTGCAGTAAGGTGCTTTACTGAAATGTAATTATGTTTTTACGTGTATTATGAAAGTGGATCGTAGTATAATTGTGCTTTTTTTTTTTTTGGAATGAGACTTTGTCAACATACAAAACACTGTTTTGGCAATAAATACCACAACATATAAAGACGATTTTTAAAAGAGTATTTTACTTTGCAACTCTGTAACTGTTATACAGTACAAAGGGGTGAAAAAAGGCGAACGCAAGAGACAAATGTAAAATGGCAACAAGGAGTACTTCAGTGGATCTTCTGAAAATGTGCATACAAATCAAGGATGTTAGTCTTCTTCCCGGCACTCGAGCCTGTTAGAATCTTGTTAGTACTACTATTCTTTTATACAATATTTTCAATACAAAATAAAAAAATCTGAAAGTGTTTCAGGTCATTCAGAAAATTTTACAACACAAAAAGAAGAGACTAATTTAGTGTTTTGGATTTTTTTTTTTTCTAGAAAAAAAAAAAAAAAAAGGATGAATTTGTGATCGGAGTTCAACCAATGATGTTCTAAATAGTTGCAGTCAGAGGACTGTACTGTCCAACCCATTTCCTGGAATCATCACACACCTCTTCACATACTGTTACAGCAAAACTCCTCTCTTGGTCTGAGTGGCTTATGTTACCTCAAGATTGGTAACTTTGTTGATGACGTGGGAACGCCTGGGCACACACTCCAGGTCGAACTTGCTCTCGTATATGGTGGGGCAAACATTCCAGCGGTTGTTCCGATAGATTCCCAGGTATGTATACACATCTGGCTTGTACGAGAGAGGGCATTTGACCCCTGTGGCACGAATGACCGAATCCAGCCTCATGACCTCATTCTCATCAGTGAAGTTCTGGTTATAGGCACAAATGACCTGCTTGCCCTCTGCCTTGCGGTCAAATGGGCTGACTTTAACGAGTGAGATCTTGCCATCTAGGGCTGCTCTTGCCACACATTCCCAAGCGTGGTCCAACTTGAAACCAGTGTCCAAGTGCATAAGCCACTTGCCTGAGAGTACTTTATGGTTCAGGGCCAGCTCCCTCACTGTCTGGAAGGTGACGGGCCGGGAACTCGCCAAAAGTTTCTCCCAACTCTCCTGGAGTCCTGTGACATCCGCACCACTGGGGCAGTGGTTTGGGCCCACCACAGCGATCCACCCCACAGGGCTGACGCCACCCTCCTCGTCTCCAAATCTGGACACTTGGGAGGGCCTGTTACTCTCCAACCAGCCATCAAACTCGGATCTGGGAGTTCTTCTAGAGTCAAAAACAATCCAGGGGTCCATGTCTGCAGCCATGGCTTCAGCAGCATAGGTCTCTGCAGCAAAGGGGGTCCTCATCTCGCCATCAACAGGGCTCTCTTCTTCCTCCATAATGGTATAGCAGTTACAGGAGTAAACAAGTTCTGAAGCCTGCCTGTTGAGTTGAAGAATGCAGTTATTATTTGTATAAAAAAACCACTGGTTTAGCCTCTGTGTTAGCTTACAACCCTTTCGCTGTTATTTATTAGCTTACAACCCTGCCAAACTTCGACAGAAGTGGACAACTGAATTGCTTATGAATGCTACTAGCTAGCCTGCTACAACAGCGAAAGTTAGCGTATCTCTACCACTGATTCAGTTTCACACGAAAGTTGCTATCGACCCCAGCGTACCGCCTACAGCTGACATGTCAAAGAACACGCAGAACAGCTTTCTGACTGCTTTAGCATTGTTGTAGCTAGCCGACAAGCTAGTCGTCTTTATAAATGTACACACTCGTCCTGGCTAGCCATTTCTAGCCAGCTGTTGAATACAACTGACGCTTTAACATTCACAGTTTTCCCATTCAAAACGTAAATAATCGCACGCAGATGTTAAACTTTGAACATAAAGGCTTACTCTAGCCGTAGATGTCGAAGTTTGTTGTTCAGTGTTGATCTTCCGCATAAGCGCACCAGCTCCTCTGTATCTAAGAGCCAAAACCCATTCAGGTGGCTGGCAGTTTAACTAATTATTTATACATCAATTAAATTACGTACCTCGTCCACAAATTCGACCGTATGTAACAATATAAATATATGATATAAATATATATTTTTTACGTTTTGCTATAACATAATTTTAAACATAAGTTATGCTGTACTAGATTCAGCGACTTTTAAAAAACTTGCATGTTCCTCGGTATGTGTACAAGTCAAATATGTAAGTTTCCCACATTTGTATTTTGTTAAGCTTTAAAAATAAACATGTCCCATTACTATGGTTAAATAAAAGTATTTCTTTTCTTTGCATTTGCGGAACGACAAGCGCTCCAACCTGTCGGCACGGAGACCCTGCGGAAACAAACTGACCGCACCGAGGAACGAGTGACGAAGACGATGTGCTAACTAGTTAGCCGGATAGCCACCACTATCTGGTGTGCGCGCGGTGGAGGTGAATTTCTGTATGAAATAGAATACGAATATAGCATATATTGTATTTTATTTTAGTTTAGCCACCCAGGTAATTTAATTATGCCCAGCAAAAAGAAGAAATACAACGCCAGATTTCCTCCGGTAAGTTTAAACTGTGCTGAGCCGGTGTCAAAGCAAGCTAACGTTAGCAAAGTGTAACATGGAAAGCTAAGTTCTGTAACTAGCTTAAGTGGAATTCGGCCTCTTTTGTTGCTTAGAGAGCATACAAGCCATCTAACACTCCCAAACCATTTAGTATACAAAGCACGTGCCTTAGTGAAAAGTAGTTGATGTCATGAAATTAGTGACCAAACATCCCCTGTATGTCATTAGTTGGTGGTGTACACACATAGCAGGCGTGCTATTTAAGTTGGTCTACTAATTGACGTTGTTTTTAGCATCTCAAGCTAGGCTAAACGGCACGTAAATAAATGTGAATAAATCCATTCTTTATTGTAATAAGCTGGATACTGTATCTACAATCCTCACACTACGTGAGTAGTGTAATAGTAATGATTGCAGTTACTTTGTGGGGACCTCACGTTATTCGATGTGCTGTACTGCAAACTCTTTACTAGGTTGTCCCCGAATTTCAGCGCGTTTTCACTGAAAATGTTTGTTGTTGTTTTTTAAGAAAATGAAAATTTGAAGCGTTGCTGTAGACACATGCATAAAAATCGACCTTTTCTCATTTCAGGCAAGGATTAAGAAGATTATGCAGACAGATGAAGAAATAGGCAAAGTGGCTGCAGCAGTGCCTGTTATTATATGTATCCTTCCTGCCTGCAGTCGTCACTGTGCAAGAGTGCAAGTTCTGTCTTGAATTATAAATTGTAAAAGACTGTTTAATAATTAGAGAAAAATGCTTCCTCAGTCTGTTGTGTTGTTGTGTCAAGTTGTCTATTATTGCATGTTTGATAGTTTGATGATTTTAAAGTACAAACACACCACTGCTTCACTGTACTTCCCTTATCCAAGATATCAGCAAGAGCACTGGAGCTTTTTTTGGAGTCCTTGCTTACAAAGGCTTGTCAAGTCACCCAATCTAGGAATGCAAAGACAATGACAACGGCACATCTGTAAGTTCTGTGTTTGTCTTCATTCAGAGCCCTGTCTGTGTTGCACTGTGTTGGAGATGAACGTCTTAGGAAGGCAAAGCCATCTGCTGTTCAGATCACTGATATATTATATAGAATTGTATTTGTTTTTAATGAGTGTAGCTGAAATGCTGTCAGGCCTTTATTTTGTTTATTTTTAAAGTGGACTCGTGATGAACTTCCAGCTCGATAATTTCATTCTTGGACTTTACTAAAGTAGCTTTGCTTGATTCACATTTAAAAATAACGACTATTCGTAATATACACAATATACTTCTTTTAAGTCAGTTTTCTTCTGATTGGTTTTAACAGTACATTTAACAGTTCTTTCATCTCATTTAATCAAATTTCACAAAATGGGAATTGTGCAAAATTTCAGGACTTCAGTCATTAGTTTACTCAAAAAATAATCCTCAGTGAAATGTTGAAAATAGGAGTGTTTTTGAATAATTCCCTAGCATAATTTTATTTTTACATGACAACATGTACTAAATCCAAATTGACTTTTTAAGTAATGATTGTGATGGTTTTCTTTCTCATCTTCCTAAGAAAAATGTGCCTAAAACACTTTAAAGTAGATAATGTCATTTTAAAGTAGCCCCTCAAAAATGATGTTGGAAAATGTCTAAAAACAGCCCTGCCATCATCCTTTGAAATATTTTTGAGAAAGCTAATGACAGCCGGAACCTGAAATTTTCCACGATTTCTATTTAGGATGTGTATCCTCCACCTGGAATGTTTTTTCAGGTAAGATGGTGAGGTGGGAAAGCATTTGATGAACTGACAAGGACTAACCCTACACATTGCAAAAAGATAAATAAATAAGGAAAATCATTATGAGCCGTCTTTACAAAAAAATGGCATCCTGTTACACAGCATGATTTACTGTGTGTGGTGGGAGCCTGATAGTTCTGTGGAGCACATTTGCAGTACATTGCTGAATCCCTTGTATCTGAAAGTATTTCTGGCCTGAGTAAGACAGCCCGCCAAAACAATTTTTCCCTGTGACTCAGACTGCATGTGTTGCTAAAATGAGTATGTACTACCATTAAGCTTGCTGTCTTTTTGATACGAGCTTATATTTCACTTGGCAAGTAAGGCTGAGGAGAAAACTGTTCATATTTATTCACAGAAAGCAGTGCATTGAGCTGGAGCAGCAGTTTGATTTTTTAAAAGACCTGGTTGCGGCGGTGCCAGACATGCAGGGAGAGGGGGAAGAGAACCACACCGAGGGGGGAGGAGAGAAAGTCCCACGGAGGTAACATTCGCTCACACAGACACCCAAACACGTAGAGAAAGAGTCATGATGCTTTGAAATGGAAGGAGTATTTCACATGCACGATGAAAACACTCCAGGGTGATATGAGGCAGCCAATCCAGCTGCAGATAATTTGGACTTATTTCATTAAGCAGTTTGTAATTCAGTCAGCTCTGATAAGTGCACACACGCACATCGGTTTAAACTAAAAAGGATTCGCTCCACGAACAGACAGAATCTGTGTACGTTATCTTTTCTTCTTCTGGAAATGAGCACTGCTATAAATTGGTCTATAATCCTTGCAGTGTTACCGTACTCCCGTGTTCCTTTAGTTTTGTGATTCTAGATTATCAGAAGAAAATGAAAGAACTGGCCAGAGCGAAAATTAATTATTGAGGAATTGTAGACAAGAAAATGCAGTATTGACTGTCAGATCAGACGCCGGCACCGCAGCTAATTTGTAGCAGAGAGCTTGGCGGGGAATTAGACGTTTCTTTTCTCTGCAGACTGCGGCTGATTGGATTCATATTCAATTCAAAGTGGTCGTAAAACTTGTAATGTTTAGACATTTGGTGTCAGCAAGTGCCTCAGAGTAATTTCCACCAGCAGTATGCGTCACACTGTTCTACTCTGGAGTTATCTTAAAGTTGCGAGGAGAGAATTTCTGCTTTAAAAAAAGCCACATTAGCTACTATGTTTTTCATTTAAAACATTTTTGTGCACTAAGTTAAACAATTGATTTCTGGTTCCCTCGTCCACAGTAGCCCAAGTGTACGTTCTGTTTCATGTGTTGTCTCGTAAACATTCTTTTGAAACTTTAAAGTAGGACCTGTTATCACATTTCCTTACACGGTTATCTTTTTTCTTCCTCAGAGGTCGAAAACCAGGGTCTGGTCGCAAAAACGGAGGTGCTGGCGCCAAAGGCAAGGACAAGAAGTTATCTGGAACAGAGTCGGAGCAGGAGGTGTGAGATGATTTGCATGTAGAGGCCTGAACCTGTCTACTGTGTTTGTCTGTATGAGGGGAGACGACTCACTGTTGTCTTCCTTGTGATGGAAACAGGACGACAGTGAAGACAGCGAGACAGACGGGGACGACGAGGACGGCTCTCAGTCTAGCACACATCTGCAGGCTCCATCCAGGTTCCACAGGTTTGTGTCCAGATCCACATGAGACGGTGTGTCTGGAAATATCCTCCCAGACTGCAGACTCGGAGAGAGGGAGGGCGTGTTTTTTTTTAAGCTCTTGCACTGCTCTTCCCTCTGCAAAACAGACTCTCTGATACCAAGATGTGAAGTGATTTACAGCATATGACAAAGGAGATAGACGCCTAGAAAATGGCATAGAATTCATGAGAACTGCTGAATCATTATAAACAACCCACACACATTTGAGCCATTCAAACACTACATGATGCCCACAAGAGGGCAAAGCAATACAGCAAAAGATGCAAGTAGTTACTTAGGCACATTTAGTCCAACATAAACATGTTTACATACCTACACATTACAGAATAAACTAAACAAGTTGGGTGTGGCACCCTGAGTGAGCTCTGCTTTGGAACAACATGGAGTGGTGTGGACTGGCATTTATACAGCACATCTCTGGTTTTCAGTATTCTGAGTATTCAAACCTCTTCACACTACTGTCCCCATTTATTCTGTACTAGCACACTTTCAGCAATTTATCTACACACGTGCTGTGAGACATCACAGCTGGCAGAATTAGCACTTTAACTTGATTCTTATATCAACTGATAAAAACAGAAGACTCGTCTAAACATGGAACAACAATTCAAAAATTCCATCGATATGAATTTGGGAAATGATTAGCAGGGACCTGACGTGTATGAGGCTTTTCCCACTAGCCAAATCACGAGACTTGTGCTTCAACCATTCACTCGGTGCAGTTAGGGTTACACTGTTCTGCAGTCTGCTGATTACAGAGCTTGAAGAGCAAATCGCTCTTTGTGATGCTGAGTTTACTTGAGAACGGAGATTATGATATTGAAAATGGTAATAAAAACAGTAAATAACCATATAGCATACTTGAAAAAGTAACCAAGAATGTAGGAAATGTGTTTTATTTCAGTCTTTATTAATTTGGTCAAATTTGCCAGCACAGAATAAAATTAAGAGGCTTGTGGAGTCTGAGATGTCTGCAGTTCAAAGTGTTTTCTATTGCTGTATTCCATTATTGCACTGTTACAAGCAGATATAATAATATTCGAAACCCAATGTGACCTCCCCTCATATACAACTCTACACTCACATGCCAGTTTGTTAGGTATAAATGACTGGGTCGGGCCCCGTTTTTCCTTCAGATCAGTCTAAATGCTTTGTGGCATAGATTCATCAAAATGCTGGAAGCATTCTTAAGATTTTAGTCCAAACTGACATCAAAGACTGATACCGACTTTGCAGATTTGGCTCTATATCTGTGATCTTCCATTCCCCCACATCCACTGGCGGTGACTGTAGAGGCCATTTGAGTACACTGGACTCATTGTCATGTTCAAGAATCCAGTTTGAGATGATTTGAGCTTTGTGACATGCTGCGTTGTTCTGCTGGAAGCAGCCATCAGAAATGGGTACGCTGTGACCATAAAGGGATGGACATGCTTAGTGACAATACTCTAGTAATGACGCTCAGTTGGTACTAAGGAGCATAAAGTGTACCAATATAATACCCATGCACCCATACAACAATGGCACCAGAACGAACTTCTGATCCAAGGCAGGATGCTTTCATGTTTACACCAAATTCTAACTCTGCCATCCAAATATCACAGCAGAAATCCAGACTGATCAGACTGGGCAACGTTTTTCCATTTGTATTGTACAATTTTGTTGAGGCTGTGTGAAGTGTAGCCTCAGTTTCCTCTTTCTAGCTGACAGCACCTGGTGTGGTCTTCTGCTGGAGCCCATCTGCTTCACGGTTCGATGTGTTGTGCATTCAGAGATGTCCGCTCAAATAACGAGTGGTTATTTGAGCTCTTGTTGCTTCTTATCAGCTCAAAGCAGTCTGCCCATTATCCTCTGGACAAGACATTTTCGTCCAGTGAACTGCCTGCAAACTGGACAGCTTCTAATTTTGGACTGTTCTGTGTAAACTCGGAGAGAATTGTGCAGGAAAAGCCCAGTAGATCAGCAGCTTCTCAAAATACTCAGAGAGCTCCGTCTGGCACCAGGCTAGGTTCTTCACTTGACTGGGATGGCATTTTAAGACTTGTCTGAAGAAGCACTAATTGGTCAGTAATTACATCAGCGGCAAATCGAGTTCAAAGCTGTCTGATCTCTTAAGAAATAAACGCTCAATTTACTTTGCATAATCTTTCAGCTGCTGCTCTCTGTTTTCGTTGTGCCTCCCATGAAGGTGCTGCCATTTTTACTTTTCATTTGTAAGAAAATCTCCAGACAAGCAAAGTTTTTTTCTCTCAAAAAGTTATATTGCCTCACATTAAGAGCACATAAAGGCATATTTATATATGACTATTACTGTAGCCTGTTAAGAGAGAGAAATCTAGTGGCTGAAATTATGCCAAAAACAGGAAGAGGGCGCTGTTTTCCTACTAGAATCGATAGACAAACCTTTGCTGGCCCCAAGTTGAATAAGTTGTACCTGGAGTTCCCTGTAAATATCAAGATTCATTTTGGATACTTAACTCTAAAATAGTCCATTATTTTTTTTTTAGTGCACAGTTAATTTGACTAATAATGTTTCAATTTAAAAGGTAGTTTGTGCATAAAATGCACACGACTCCTCAGAGGTTAACACCTGTTCCTGTGCCCCCACAGCTCCAACACCCCCCCTCAGTATATGCACATGGCCAACATGGTCCCAATGGGCAACATGGCTCCAACGCAACCTCCGGGCACCGTGGCCTTTGCCCCACACGCCTCCATGATGAGCATGGCACCACCTCCCACAGTCCCTGCACCGCACAAGAACGGGGACGACGATGACGACGACGAAGACTATGACTCTTAGCTCGTTCTCAGCACTCCGCTCACACACTCTCTCATTCTCTTCTAACACACACAGACACACACACACACACAGTCAATGTTATTTTTCAAATTCTTAAGTTGTTTTTCTGGCAGCTGCTGTAAGCAGAGGAGAGAGAGACTCTTCATTGCAGCCTGCTGACCAAAACGCCCTTGGCGGCCAGCTATAAGAGCCACCACCACCGCGAGAGACACAAAGCCTGTACATTATGTGTTTTAATTTTCTTTTTCTTCTTCTTCTTTTTTTTTTTTTTTACAAAGAAACTTTTATTTTATTGTAGAGAAGAATCCAACGAGGATCTTTTTTAACAAGTCAGTCGCTCGATTTTTGACTAGAAAAATGGTGGTCGTCACCGTTTTTGCAGGCACAACAAGCTTGGGCCTCGCAGCTTTTTCTTTTCTTTCTCTTTTCTTTTGGGAACTTTTTTTTCCCCTCAGTTTCCTGTTGTAGACCTGAACATATCAGTCGTCGTCACTCAGATCCTCAGGTTGGCTGAAAGAATCCGTACATAGTAGTTGTTGAAGCTTTCTTTCAAGGCAACAGCACGGTATTTGGAAGATGATCATCGGGAAGGTTGGTGTCTCGCTGCTGAAGTGTTATGACTATGTTATAGATCGGCTGTGATATACAGCTTTTAAGCTCTGAGCTCTACTTCCCGGCTTTGTCACAACTCGCAGCCCAATTGTCCGGCTGTAACATAAATAAGGAAGCAGGTGTATTTTTTACTATACATTAGCTAGCTACACCTCTTTTTTTTTTCTCTCCCCCCCCCCCCAATGAGTTTCTATTTTTAAGTCACGTTTTTATCAAGAGAACTGTATACCTTCACAGCTCTGAAGTCAATCATATCAGCAGGTTAATGAGTTAATTATTTGTTGTTCATGACCCTGGCAGAGGTCTGTTACTTTGGCAATTGGATCTTGTTATTATTATTATTATTACTTTACTCGACCATTTAATACTCTTAAATTGCCCATCTGAAGTATACTGTGACTCTTGGACCATATGTTTGTTTTTAAAAGCTTTTTTCGCCCCTTCTATTGTCCTCTCATTTCTGTTCTGGCCTCTCCTCCAATTTTGAGTAACTTGCTCCTTTATCCTGACTGTTTTCCTCCCCTTTTTAGATTCTTTTAAATGTGTTGATTGGAAGCAGAGTTGGGGCACCCGTTTATGTGTCAGTCTCCGTATGAAATGGTTGCAAACAGACAGTTGGCACTGTATTGTAAACTTTTAACATTCTTTTTATTTTGTATGTAAAATAAAGTTCATATTTCAATTAAAATGGTCCTTGTATTGGTTTGATTTCTGCATTGGAATTGAGAGCTTGAAGGTACCTTCCATATTCAATATCGGCTTAAAGGCAAAACTAAAGTACACTTACTAATATTTCAAAAGCCCTCCACTGAAATTTTTTTTACCTTCGTGGGCGTGGAGTACATCCTTTGTAGTTCCACTTTGGAATTCTCTGCATTTTCTATTGTGCAGTTTACCTTGGATGCTGTGCATCTGCCAACCGGTGACTCAAGCAGCCTGAAAGACGCAGCTTTGCAGTCTCCTTCTGGTATTTAATCAGATAAAAGTGCAAGACAGTACAGGTTTGTGGAAAAGTGAGAGATGTGATTGTTATCATGGGCTTGCGTTGTGTTCAGAGTAGCTGGCACACTTGGCCCTGACTGTTCATCCAGCCCCCTTTCCTCTTCCTCCTGCCTCTATTTTTTTTTTTTTAAACAGTCCCCTTTGTCGTGTAAATGCAGCCGCCTCTCTTACCCCCACCTCCAAACACAGCCGACCAAGCAGTGCAGAGCCGGGACCACGAAAACAACTGCATCCTTCCTGCACAAGCGTTGACTCAGCGCACTGTGAGGAGGGAGGGGTTTTGCTCAGTGTGTGTGTATGTGGGGTAAAGAGGGAGGAAGGTGGGATGGGGTGTCGGTAGTTGACTTTAGGAGGTTGGTGTTCAAACAAACGGCAGCCGTGGTGCAGGGAAGAAGGGAGGGGAGGGGAGCCATCAAAGGGCTAACAGAAGGAAGCGTGCTGTTTCCACACAGGAGCCGGCGGGGACAGAGGTGACCCTCTGATTCCCGTCACCTCCTGAGAAGCCACTGACTTACAAACATGGGAAAATATGACCAAGAGGAATTCCCTGACCTTTTCCAAGACAAAGTCTTTTTGTTTTTATAGATAGAATGCACCTTCATCAGTGGGAACACCAGCAGTCAATTACTAAAATATGCTCCCGTCTTTACTGAAGGCTATTTTTAAGTAACTCTTAAACATTAGGTGACTACACCACCATGGTGGGCACCCTGTGTGGGTGTTTTCGTCATGTTAAAAAACACGGTTGGGTACGTAGATGGACCAGTCAATCATGAGCTTCATAACTTTATTCTTTTCACCACCACAGATGGATGGTTGTGGATGCCGCCCTCCCACCCTGCTTACTGATACTTAAAATTCCTCTACTTGGGGCAGTAACAAGTCCTCGACCCAGAGTGACTGAAAGCCTTGACCAAAGACTCAGGGGTGCTAATTCTCATTCACGTGCTGCTGTAAACTGTCCAGCACAAACTGGAGTTCATGGTTTGCTGAAGCCAAGAGATCCACATCAGCAGCAGCAGAAATAAGATCCTGAGACCACTGAACCTGACACCTTCCCCTTCTGCCGTTTCTCATGAACACTAGAAATTTTGTCCATAGAAATTATGAACACAATCTGTGACAAAGGACAGCCTGGGAAAGTCCGACACCCAAGAATGGTCTGACTTATTTTCAGCAATGCAAAAAACCTTTTCACTGTATACCACCCATAGGACACATGCTGACTGCAGACTGCCACACACATCCTTGAAAAAATATCTGGTACAGTGTTCAGTGACCTAGTACTACACTACATAATGTTCCATGTAATATTGAATTAAATTATAAAATATATTTAAAAAAAATCAAAATCAAAAATGTTATGTTAAAGAAAGCCAAATTATGAAATGCTATATTTAAGTAGTTCTCACAATTTGAACTTTTCACTGCATAAATTATAATCTTTATTTGGCACTAATGGACTTCCATTGGCTCATCGCCAGGATTACCAAAAATTCTACCATACTTATAACTATACTGCAGCATTTATGAGTTTATTTTTCCCCAGGTGGTTTCAAAATGAAAATCAGATTAAACTGTCCCGTAAGATCAAGACAACATCTGCGGTTAAAAGATGTGTCTCTTCTACCAAGTATCTCAGAATCACATCATTAAATGACTATTATTGTCATTTCGTCAAACCTCATTTTAATGGGACTAGATTAAAAAAAATGTATGCGAAGGCAAAAACTTCCTCTTTGTTGTTGTTTTCTAAGTAGCTGCTTAATTTGGTGAAGTTAGCTAACAAGAAGTTAGCTAACTTCGAAACACCGGAACTGCGGAAGTCTTTTAAAATAAAAGTATCAGAACTACAAACTATATGTTTTTAAAGGAGGCCACAAACCACTTTAACTTTATTCTTTTACCTTTACTCACATGTCATAATAACCATTTCTTACCTCAGGTTACTGCTGCAAAATAGTATCCCGTTCAGACATGGGTACTTTTATTAGGTATATAATATAGACTGACTTGATTGGGGTGATACTTGAAATTACATTACACGGGGCTTCGTACAAGATTATTAACAACAACAATAATAATAGTAGTAGTAGTGGTAGTTCTAGTAACAGTAAATGTAGATATAAGTTAGTATTATAGCGTATTGTGCTGCATAGCTGGGCAGCTAAACACTTCCAACTTCTAAGTAACTAAGTTATAGAGCAACCACGTAAAGGCGCCCACAAGTTTTATTTTGAAAGTTTCAAGAGAACGCGTTACGCCGCTTCCCGTAACTTGACGACGCTCTGTCATCTGACTCTTTTCCTGTTGGGAGAGAAAAAAAAGTTTTGAAACCCCACCCTCTCCACTGACCGTAAGCGCAGACGTAGAAGTGGTTCGACAACCTGGCGAGTGAACTCTGTGTGAGGAAGACAAGTGTGATATGAAGTTATGATGGAGTTGTTCCGCTCTTTGGATACCGACTGTAAGAACGGGGGACTCGAGCCGGACCAGGCCACGCGCTGAACTCCCACCAGGAACTAACGGGATTTGTTTTTACTGCGTTTCTCTGAGGAAAGTAGAGCCGAGCAGGTTTGGAGAGCTCTTCCTGTTACAAAGTCGGCGGTCCCCAAGTTTGCTTTATGTTTTGGTAAAGGCTGGCTATTCGTGTGCTTCCCATAAGACCGTGAGCATGGATAGTTTGGCGCAATGGGATGCGGGATTTCCTGCGGAAGTGCCGCAAAGTTGCGGTGAGATGCCGTTATTGGAGTTTTGGGCTTAATGCGAACTGGACAGCGCTGAAACTTGTCGTAAAACACTGGTTGGCTGGACTGAATGCTCCTTTCCTGCTATTCTTCTCCGCTTTTCAGCGCTTCCTGCTTGTGGTGGCCACTGCACTTAATGGCTAAAAATACATAAAAACTCAAAATGGACAGTTAAGTGTGGTGGGAACCTTTATTACCAGTTGCAATAGCAGTACCTGGGAGTGTTTCGCAGTAAGCGGAGTAGTTTTCATTCGTCTTCTTACACTTTCCCTCTCTAAAAAAAACAAAACAAAGGCAGGACTCAACAGGTGGCAGTTTTGAATGAGGGGGAAGAAGAGCTAAATTAGCCATAATGAGGTGATTCGAGAGGCCCTTAAATACAGGCCGGTGAAATGATATTGTGCTTAAACCATGTGTTGGGAAACCACACACCACATCACTTGAACAGAGAGAATTTCAGTGGAAGCAGTGCTGTCTTTCTGAGCTTTGAAACACTTAGCCTTAATCAAACAAAAGCAATCTCTAGTGAATCATCCGATGGAGAGACGAGTTTAATGCGACGATGAATAAAAGACACTTGCGCTTCTGTTGTCTTTGACTGCTCTCCTCTAGCCCACTTGTTGGTCCAACTTTTGAACACATTTCATTAGTCCCTGATGAGCCAACAAGAAAGACAGGAAAGGGAGCGAGGCGCAATAAAGTACTCCTTTGTACTTTATTTTCAAACCCTTGGGGTGCTAAATCAGATCCAGTCAAAACATCTGCTTGAGGCTCCATGGAGCCACTGAAGAATATATTCAGCCGTGGCCCGCTGTCCAACTGGAAAAATTTGGAACAATCGCAAAAAGGGAACTTCACCAACCCTGTGTGGACAGCCTTATTTGACTATGAGGCATCCTGTAAAGATGAGCTCACCTTACGTAAAGGCGATCTGGTGGAAGTCCTCTCTCTGGACTCGGAGATATCAGGGGATGAGGGCTGGTGGGCGGGAAAGGTCAACAACAAGGTGGGTATCTTCCCATCCAACTACGGCTCCTTCAAGCCGAGTGGATATGGAAAACTTCCGGGCAGTGCCGTGGTGGATGAGCTCGCTCCGGCTGTGGTGGGTGAGTTTGAACCTGAAGAGGTAGATTTCCGGGAGTTGAGCCTGGAGGAGGTCATTGGGGTCGGGGGATTTGGAAAAGTGTATCGTGGTACATGGAGAGGAGAGCTGGTGGCGGTGAAGGCCGCTCGCCAAGACCCGGACGAGGACATCAGTGTGACAGCGCAGAACGTGAGGCAGGAGGCCCGTCTGTTCTCCATGCTCACCCACCCCAACATCATCGCCCTGCAGGGCGTGTGCCTGCAGGAGCCCAACATGTGCCTCATCATGGAGTACGCCTCAGGTGGGCCGCTGAGCCGTGCTCTGGCAGGCCGTCGAATACCGCCGCACGTCCTGGTCAACTGGGCTGTGCAGATAGCCAGAGGGATGTTGTATCTGCACAGTGAAGCCATCGTCCCTGTCATCCACCGGGATCTCAAGTCCAACAACAGTAAGTCCTTCAAGCCCGCAGCGCAGATCAGCATAGCTTCAGTCTGTCTGTTGGGGTTAGTTCAACGAAATCAAAGGTTTGGATATAATTACAGGGCTTTCTACTTAGGAAAGCCTCATGGCTCTAATGAACATGGCTGTACTGTAAAGCTCCTAAAGGAATCTCAGTGTTTACAAAGCCTTTCTAGAACAAAGAGGGCCTTTTAAGCTATCATTCACATTGCCAGATTAGTCCGTCTCTCATTCTGATTCTGTATCATTATTGATAAGAAGATCAGATTTATCTAGGCTTCATGTGACTCCTGGGCTATATAAGGTAGGCCAGACCTATAGGCGGCTGATGCATACCAGGAAAAACTAACATAAAGTGTCTTAGGGTAATGCAGGGCCAGTGTGTGCCAAACCAGTCTGCAGCGCTCCACTGAATGGATTGAACACACCACTCTTCCAAAACATTCTCCTATATTTAGTTTGGTGGGGCGCTCTCATTACATCTTTGTATTGATTTGTGGGGGATGTGCACTCCAACCTTGCCAGCAAAATTCCCTCACAGGATAACTCCTGGTCCCTTCACTGCATGGGTCAATTTACTTTTGTTTGTCATCTTTGTGTGCCTGATTGTGTGTGTTTGCATACTGCTCATAGGACAAGAATACCAAGTTTTTCCAGTGAAAGAATGCAGTGGACGAGTTTTACTTCTCGGCACCGTTATATTTCACACTTTGGACTTTAATGCTGTCCTCTTCTTACATCAAAGGTCTTGCGTCAGTGTTTTCGGGGCCTCGTGGCAGACACGTAGGGGTTGGACCTTGTAATTAAAGCAACAATGCAGGGAGATGTATCACTGATAAAGCTTTCTGTCTCACCCCCCTTTTTTTCTGTAGAATAAGAAGCTCTTTTCTCAGCATCTAACGGCAGCTTTAACCCAAACAGAGAGCCAGCTGAATTTGTGCAGCGGCTTGCTCTCTGTTATTATCATTCCTGTGACGCAGCATATAATCCCCATCAACTCTGCTGTGGCCTAAAAAAAAACAAAAAACCCTTCCTCTGCTCATCCTTTGTGTTGTTAGAGATCCCGGTCACCAAACTACACCGAGAGAAAAAGATCACCTAGCAACACTTTTTTTAGGGTGTGGCCTTGGATGGGAGCATCCAAAGGGCAATATTCTTGATTCAAGGTTTGCTGATAGCAGTGGATTCAGCACATCCTAAGATATCAATATTTCCATCGTGCCTTTTGTTTCTGTCGGTATCATCAGTGCTCCACAGAATGGCCTCACCCTCACCTATTGCGTATCATCTGCCTTGTCAGGTTATTTCCCAGCTGGAAGTGCATCTGCTGTAACACACACACGAAAAAAACCAGAGGAGTTATTTTAATGTAGTGTTTGTGTAGGAGACAGGCCAGAGCGAACACAATCCCTCTCTGTGTGCCCGAGAGATCCTATCTCTCTCCTGCCTCTTGTTTTTTAATTCTTCACTGAATCTTTGTCTGTGGCCTGCCTCTACATGTCTCCGTACGACCTTATTCCTGTCGTGCCGCTGAGCAATATCCTGTTGTGGGGAGAGAGAGGGAGGTGGGGTCATTCGAAAAAGACATTCTTTCAGTTCGACAGTAATGTGCCCGGCTGGAAGCGCCACTCTGACAGGTTTAACGGACAGGTGCAAAAACACCCCGAGATAAGAGCGCCGGTTAAATAAACCAAAAATCTTAATGGGGCGGTTTCTTTGAAGGTACAGCATGTCCTAAATCATCCACAGTTGCCCTCAGATTGTAGTGTCAGTTCCTCAGAATAGTGGTGCAAGTTCTTCTTTCTATAGCTGCCATTTTGCGCCAGCGCTCTGCAGTCAAACAGGGAGGAATCTGTCAGCGAGGAGGCAAAAAGCCTGCTTCCAAATGTCGCTGTAAGTGACCGAACGCAGGAAAGAACTGAGGCTGAGGTGGGCTGAGGAAAGGATAACTCATTGTACGATGATGTCATGGTAAAGGGGGGGCAAAAGGTTTAATATTGTTAATTGTTAACATTTGTTACAGTGACGGATTATTAATGCGAATAGTCGTTTTCTCTGCAGGGCTTCTAAACAGCAGCTGTATCGCTGTTGTGAATTGTAGGGTGGAAGGTGCTGATTTAACAGAAGCATCAGAGTTCATGGTGGGGCGCTTGGCTCAGAGCCAGAGGCCATAACTGGAATTCCACTGAATGCAAGTGGGGACCGGAGAGTGGAGCAGCATCTCCTGTCTCTCACTCTGGCGTCTGCACGTCCGAAGAGTTTTCACACCTTCTGCACTTTGGTGTGTTAGCGTCTTGTGGTTAGGTTTAAGGGCTTTGTATACAAGTCTTTATGAAAAAACCGACATCTTTAGCAATCACTGGCTAATAACCAGCACAGTGGTTCAAAGCCGCAGACATCGCTCTATAGCTAATCCATGCTGCTTATCTACAAACAAGCACCTGTCTCTGTCTCACACCTTCATTGTCTGCTTAAGCTACCAAAAACATCGGCTTGCGGCTTGGATCGGTCACTTAGTCGCACATTAAGCAGCTTAATAACTTAGTTAATGCCAGGATTTGTCGTTTTAGCTGCTAAATGGTGGGTTCCTTATTCCGCATTTCCACTGCTAACATGATCTCTAATTAGAACTATAAGTTTATGTTTGTTGTTCCCCGGCTGCCAGCCTGTACATGTGAACACAGAATAGGAGAAATTTAAGACCTCTATTCATTCTTCTAAGCTTTGTCTTGAAAAACGCCTGCCTATTTAGCCACCAACAACTCAATTAATGATACATTACCGCAACCTGCCCCGTTATAAAACCACTGGTAAGAAAACAGTCAGAGGTGTAACTTTTGTCAACAACTTTTTTTTTTTTCCAGAGGAAAACAGGGTGATGACTAAATAAAATTCATGCATTTGCCCCTGGGAAGCAGTAGTACTTTCTTATTTTTACCGTTTACCTTTGGGAAACAGTACAGTTAGCTCTCCTGCTCCCCGTTTCTCTTGGAAAAAAGGAAGAAAAAACCCTGTAAAGATATATTAATTCTTGAGTGTGTCAGGGTTTCGTAATTTTTGCAATTCTCGGTACAGCGGATGACACTTTTGTCCCATTCAGGTCTCAGTTTATCAGATCATCCGTTTGGATAAGGTTTACTTCAGGGTTTATTTCCCTGTTCGCAATGCCTCCCATATCACTGCAGCTTTTATTGCATTTTTTCTGTTTTACTAGACTGTTGAGTTAGAGCCCCATCGAGTTATTGGCAGGCTGATATTATGGGTTAATATTGGCTATTTCTTGATTTATCAGTATTTATAATAACCAAATCAAGAAGAGACAGCAGACGGACCTTAACCATGTTATGAGTGTTAACATGGCACCGCACGACTACACCCTTGTGGAACAGAGTGGATGATGGCTCACCGAAAATGTGTGGGTGTGGGCTCATCATTACGAGTGACATCCTTTACGCTGCACATAGAACCTTTTTTTTCCGATTCTATGAAAAATATTGATTCGTTTCAACATTTCTGTGATTAAAATATCAAAGCAGCAACATATTTTCTTCATCTACAGTAAAACTCAATCTGTTGGCTTTCAAGAAGCTCATTCAAAGTGTCACCCGTGGACTGATATACCAAAGAGTCACCACGCACCATCAAACTGCAGTGGCTTTAGCTGAGTCGGTGAGGAAAGTGTCAAGCTAATCATTTGCTGTGCTAAAACTCACAGTTCCCGTTTTCAGGAAGAAGCCACAGTTGGATCTTTGATCAACATGTTTTTTTTTCCACAAGTGGACAAACCTCTGATACATGTCCTCTACCAGCATGTTTTTCATTCAGGGCCCCCGGTGCCCACACTGCAGCACACTCAAAACATCCTCTGTGTGTGTGCGCGTGGGTGGGTAGCTGGGTGGCTGGGTGTATCGCGTTTACATGCATGTAGTGAAATGCACTCCTGTTAGCACTGCATTTACACATCACCGTTCCTCTTTGTGGCTGCAGGGCATATGAGGGCCATTTAGACTCTTTAGTCTGCTTTCCTGATGGTGCAGATAATTTTTAGAGGGAATGAGAGCGCGCGATAAAGTCCAAACATGCACCTGTGTTTTTGTTTTGTTTTGTTTTTTTAAAAAAAAAGAAAAGAAAAAAGCTTGCCGGTCAAATATTTTGTTAGCTAAATGCATGCTCGTCACTTCACTATTGGGAATGTGGGAAGAATTTATACTAATTTTGTGGAGCTATTTAATTTCTTGTTGACTTCAGCTCATGAGACTATAGTCACAGATGCCTTCTTGGCTGTAGCGAGTGCCAGACTATCCTAATTTGTGTCAAGGACAGCAGCAGAATGGAGCAGTAGGTGGAACGAGCAAGCTACTTCCAGCAAACCTGTCAGTCAGAGCAAACAGAGCTTGAAACCTATCCCTTGATAAAGCATAATAGCCTCCTAATGGAGCAATTTTAGGACTCGCTGCCAAGGCAAGCTGTAGAAGGGAAAATGTGGTCTTGAGAAAAAAGTAACATCTTGCCATGTGACACTTTAATACATCAGGGCTTTTGCTTATCAAATTAGATTAATGTTAGAGGTAAAGACAGGAACGTGCCTGCACACATTCAGTGCAATCTGTGTGCAAGGCTTCAGTAACATTGTATATGACTCAAGAAACTGAGACAGCTCACGTATGCACATTTCTCACTGTCCAATAACAAACCTGAGGCAGAGGAAACGGTTAATCAGTGTTATATTTCTACGGACTAATTTCAATGGGGAAATCCCTTCTTGACGTCTGTCTGAACAACTTTTGCAGCGTAATGTAAAAATGTTAAATGCATTTTTCAGAATCTAGTTTTGACAGACTATAAGCGGCCTCTTAGCTAGTGGATCTTCAGATAATTATACTTAAATGCGATTGACATCTTCTGACTACAAATCCACCATATGACACATTAGTAGTGCAAAGTTTTATTTAATGTTATTTAACAGCGATGTAAAAGCAAAAGAGATGC